ACAACCGAAAAGATCGTCCAAATTCGAGAACGAATGAAGGCTTCGCAAGACCGACAAAAGAGTTACGCGGACAAGAGACAGAAACATTTGGAGTTTCGAGTTGGGGATCGTGTACTTCTGAAGGTATCACCTTGGAAAGGACTCATACGTTTCGGAAAGCGTGGGAAACTAAATCCAAGGTACATCGTACCATTTGAAATCCTCGCCGGGATTGGCCCGGTGGCATACAAACTACGATTACCACAGGAACTCAATCACGTTCATCCTATCTTTCATGTGTCAAACCTGAAGAAATGTTTGTCTGATGAGACCCTTGTCGTTCCCTTGGAAGAAATTGAGATCAACGAGAACCTCCACTTCGTAGAGGAACCTGTTGAAATCATGGACCGAGAAGTGAAGTCGACGAAACAAAGCCGCATCCCCATCGTAAAGGTTAGGTGGAACGCCAAACGAGGACCTAAATACACCTGGGAACGTGAGGATTAGATGAAACATAAGTACCCGCATCTTTTTCCTGGTCCATAAACTCTGTCTTAGATTAAAATTCCGGGACGAAATTCCCTCTAACGGGGGGATGATGTGACAACCCGATATTTCGAGTCAATGTAATGTTCGAAAAGTCAAATATTATAAACTATTTTGAATCAATAAAAATTAGCGTCAAAAACGAAGTGTTCGAAAGTCTAAATTGGAATACAAAAAGTGATAGATATTGTATCAAGGTTTTAAAAATGATAGAGAACACTCAAATCCGAGTTATAACGAAGAAGTTATGATCAATCAAAGATTCGCGACACACCAAAAAAAACCATAAGCAGAAAGTTCATACATACTTGATTAAAATCTATAGCTATGACTTATGCATTCAGTTTTCAGTTTTAAACTTGGGGATCCCAAGACAATCCCGCATAAATGCATAAAAATGCCAACACTTTTAACTTTAATTTGTCCTAGAGAATATAATTTAGAAATCTTTAACCATAATTAACTTTTACTCATTCCTACAGAATATAATTAGAGCTTCGAAGCTTTGGATATGACGTGGTAAGAAGATAACATGAGGTATCCTAAACATACACATTTTATATGGCAATATTCATGTTAGTATCGTGTTTTCTGTTGTTTTCCGTCTAAACTCAACACTAAATTGTCATATATCTGGTTTTGAAGGTAAACAGCCGAGTTTCCTTCGAGTTGTTATGCTAAATGACAAATGAATTAACAGATGTAGGATTTCATATATTGATACATTACTTGAGAATAAAAGTTTTGAAGAATAAAAAGATAATGCAACATAATTGAAGGGGTACAATGTTGAAGGATGGTTGTCACCATATAAAAAACAACACACAGCCAACCAAGCAAGCAAACAAGCAACCATCACCATTTACAGGAGAAACTTGGAAGTGTAGGTACGATATGCACATCTCTTATAATAATAAGAAGAAGAAGAAAAAAAAAAGAATACACATTCACAAAATACATATCACCATTAAAACAATCATCATATCATATTTCATCTCATCTCCTTGAAGCAGGAGCCAATCAAAAATGGTCTTCTTCTGCAAACCTCCTTACATACAATAATCTCCTTGAAGCCGGAGCCGGAGGAGCCAACCCCGGTATATCTTTTATGTCTTTGTTGTTGGGATTCACAATCTAATAATTCATTCATCAAACAATTAATTATTAGCAACACTTTTTTTATCAATATATTTACTTTTTACCAATTATAGCAATACATTTACATTTTTCTTTACCCATAATAGCATTTTTCTTTACAAATAAATAATAATAGAAACAACTCTTAACTGCATAATAGCAACAGAACATACTTATATATTTCTTTACCAATAATGGCAAATAAAGTACAATGCCCATATTGGTAAAAATATGCAAGTATGTTCCCATTACAGGTTAAAGTACAATGACCATATTATTATCAGCAATTTTCCCAATTATGCAAGGCTAGAATTAGATTGACATTTACCTTCACGACAATAATAGCAATCACCCCACACACGATAAGAAATAGAAATAGCATGATGCATTTATCCGTCGCCACCTGTCCAAAAACATATAATATGTTTTATTTTAGTAAACAAGATCAAAAACATATATATATATATATATATATATATGTTTTTTTTTTTTTTGTTTTTGTGGACAAAACCTGGCGTCCTATCTCCTTCACAAGCTGAGATGCCTTTTTAATTGAGAATTGAATCGTGTCAAGTTCATTCACTATTCGACCCATTTGATCAGTCTGAAAAATTATTCAAGAGTAATTAGGAAATATAATATCAACAACTAAAATTACCAGAAAAAAAAAAAAAAAAAAAAAAGCTACTTACTTGGCCTTTCAAATTAGCAGCAGTTTGGGTTCCCACTTCAACTGTTTGTTGAACAACCTGTTTGGATCGTTCAATGGCCTGATCAGTCTCATTCATTGTCTGCATGCCAGCTTGAACAAGCTCTTGATTCGACATTTCTAACACAAAAAAAAAAAAATCACTCTATGTTTTTTTAAAATTAATTAAAACAACTTAATGTTATATTCCTTCACCTGATGCCACCTGAGCATTCTCATCAGCCATGGGCTCACTAGCACCTGCTCCCATGTCAAAAAGTTCAACCCTTTTATTTCCAAGAGTGCTTTGGTATCTGGGATTTCATAAAAAAAAAAATTAAATGAAAATTGAAAACATCAGATGAGAACGAACATAAATGGGCTTACGTCTTTCTCAAGGCCACATATGAGTTTAACTCTTTGATCTGCAAGCAAACACAGGACAGAATCGTTTTGTAAAATGAGATTTTTCTTTTTCTTTGTATATTGAAAGCTAAAACACATTACACATCAAATAAAGTTACCATTGATTGCTTCTCATCATTGAGTTTCTTGCTGACTTCTGGAGGATTTTTACTTTCCTCCTCTTTGATTTCACGGTCAAACTCTTTGATCAACCTTAAAAAGAACAAGTGTTAAGTGTATGGTTTGTTTAAAGTTTTAAATATTGAATCATGGAACTTTAGTCACTTTCTGTATACCTTTTACACTCTCTCATCTTTCCTGTAAGATCCTCCAATTGTTTACTTTGTCTGGTGGAGTCTTTAATCTTGTCCAGTTTCTGAAACCCAGTTCTGAACCCAAAACAAATTTAATAATTAATCATCACAATTTTAAGTTAAACAAGAATATCACAGTCATCACAGTTTCAACTTGGAAAACAAAAATCATAATAAGTGAAATATCAAAAAGGAAGTGTACTGTACGTGATGATATCTCAACTTTTTGTAAATCTCAGAATGAAACAATTTATAAGTAAGCATAAGGTCACATCATAGCCAAATGCTCATGTGGATTCTAAGGATATTAAAGTGCACCGAGTCTTCAGATACAGATACTCAAGGCTCAACCATACTATACATAACATATATGGTCAAATGTGGATGCCTATATGGCTATATGCATGTGTGTTTTAAGCTTCCATAAAATGTTTTAGACAACAGATGAACCAATAAAGAATCTAGTACAAGAATAGCATCACCTAGTACTCTGTTAGAAATTGGGCAAAGATCAGATTATCTACTGGGTTGTTTATGTTTGTTCACTTTCATTACAATAATTAGACCCTAAATAATATCAAGAATTTGGTAGTAAGATAATCCAAACAAATGGCACAAAACGAAAAATACAATACCATATTCATGTATGTTCTACTTCTACAACAAATCTTGAGAGAGCCAAAACAAGTGTGCACTCAGCAGTCTGCACCACCTGACTTGTATAAGATCATGGACACTCATATAAAATCCAATTACCTAAAATGGCTTCATGACACTAAAATAAGTTGTCTAGAGCAAAACACACTACATGAAAATCTAACACTAAAGTCTAGCCTAATATGATGCTGACATGCTAGATATAAAGTCTGTTCTTCTATGATTTTAGATGATGTTACACCTATTAATTTTACTAACATCAACTCCCACAGTACAACTTGTAGATTCCAAAAAAAAAAAACTTAAAAACAGAAACTTTTTTCAACCTACAGTTAGACCTCCTAGACCTAGCCTTGGGGAAATATCTGATTCTAAAATTACTACTTTTAGCCTGTAATTTACGACTGTTAATTGTGTACCATATGAGACAGAAAATCACAATATCATTCGTTGAATTACTTTAAACGTAGAGACTAAAGTGATTCACCCTTGTTTTGGAGCTCAAATTCCACGGGTTGGAACTGAAACTGAAGCACAATAAGTTGAAAGTTCCAGTGTGCTCACAAACACTAAAATTTCAATCGAAAACCATACGAACAAAGATCGATAGTTCTTATTAACGTCTACAGGGATTATAAAGAAAAAATAAGCAAACATAAATGATGTAAAACATACGCGAGGGCTCGAAAATTGTCACGAATTTCTCCATGGATCTGCTCCATTTGAACGTTCATTTGCAAATCCGGATTCGCCATTGTTAAGACCTACTCCAGTTAGAAATCCAATTCACAGCCTTGAAAGAAACCCTGAACGTCAATTTCCAAGATCGTTACAACGTAACATTGTATTCTTGTCTACCCCACTTCACCATACCAAATAAAATAAAATACAATAATATAAATCGGGGGAAGTATCTTGTTGGTATTTCTGTGATGAACAAGTTAAAAATCCGTATGGGAATTTTTGAGAAAACAAGAATGACAGAGATTACAGGGCAAGCATGTAGATGTAGGTATGTCTTCCTAGGGTTTCACAAAAACAGATTGGGGGAAGGGAAGAAGAGTGTGATAGGAGAGAGGGAGAGAGGGAGAGAGGGGTTAGCCTGTAATCGCTGTGTCCATCTGTAAAGTCGCCATACAAATTGAAATATAGGGTTTTGGCATATTTGGTATTTTTCATGATTTGACTTTCTTCTCTTTCATAATCTTTATTTTTAACTCTTTATTTTTAGCTTGGCAAAACATAAATTCGTTACATTATTATATGAACTTTTGTTAAACATGTGTGTTATATAAAAAAGAAATAATTATCAAATTTTAAGTACTACATTGTCTTCATTCAATTTTAATAAGTTTTTAGACATAAATGACCAATAATAAATAATAAAGATTGGGTAAGGGTTGTTTGATAGTTGTCGACTGAATCAGAAGTTTTGATTGAGTTTGTTTGGAATGTTTAGTTTTACATCTGACTAACTATGTTGTTGTTTTGGTCAAAAAATGATCAAACGAATATCAACCAAAGTGAATGAGATGTTGTAGTGTTGTAGTTGAAGTAATTAACGAAATTAGAACAATGTTGCACAAGTGATTTATAAGGAAAGTCATCGATCATTGTTAGGATCTCCGACACAAAACATTTAAAGGTGATAATAATCACCTACATTGTTTAATTTTATAGATTGAAATATGAATTACAAAAATGAAAGTATGTAAATGAGTACAAATGTTACACCAAGTCTAGTTGTGTGTAGTGTGCATTGTACATGTGTATTTATTGACTAGTATAAGCAACCATAAGTCTGATATTTTCGGGATCCTCTCGAATAAATATGAACATGTTGGTTTGACTTGGTATTCTCGAGTCTTCTGCCTGATTAAAAAGTTTCTTCGTTGAGAATGAGTCATATATTGACAGATTTCTTCTTCACTTGCTCTTATTTTCTTCTTATCGTCACCGACTATCTCCAAAGGTATCCTTCTTCTTCCTTCTCTTTAGTTTTTGCATTCTTTCAACCATAGGTAAAAAGATCGCTCGATCTCGCGCCTTTATCACAACCCTTCTTAGAACGACTTCATTGACCAAAAGCTCTTCACCTATAGTGAGACTTGCTCTTTTGAAAATGAAGATATTGGGTCCCTAAAAGCCAATGGGGGTTTTCCCATAAATATGATCGTTAGGTCCTATGATGCTTCGATTCAGCTAGATTTTGTTTCTCTGTATTGGGTATGTTTCCCTAAATACCCATTTTCTTTGGGTTTGAAATACCCATTTTCTGGTATAATCTCTGAGTTTTTTAAAACCACCAAAATCTCATACATCCAAGCCATGTCTTTCATTTGGAGGATCTTGTTATGATCTAGGCATAGGCTTAGCTGAACTGGCTCATGTTTATGATCTTTCTACCTTTGGGAACTCTCGTTTTTTGCTTAAGCTCAAACCCAATAAATTTCCCCTCGTTTGGAAATCAAAACACAATGACAGAGCATATAAGTAGAAGTACTTTTTTGTGAGACGTGACTCTATTCTCAACGGGGATCTCCTGCCGAGAACTTGGGTAAAAAAGGTAGGATTTACTCATTACTTGTAAGGATCTTGAAATTCCCTTTCTTATTTTGTTTATTGTGATGCAACGTTCAAGTTTGAATAAATTGTTCCCGCCACTAAGGATACATGTAACACCTGATTCCTGGTACGCATTTAATTTAAGCATTTCTGTATTTTTCTCTGGGACTCGACGAGTTGGAGGCCCAACTCGTCGAGTAGGGTCGTGATCCGCGGGCATTTTAAGTGACCTACTCGATGAGTCGGGAGACTGACTCGGTGAGTAGGTGTTGTTTGAGGAAAACCCTAAATCTGAGGGTTTGCACCCTATTTAAACAACTTAACTCAGCCTCCCTCGTCCCTATCTCTCCCAAGAAGCTGTATATCGAAACCCTAGCCGTTTTTATGTGATCTAAGGCCATTTTGGTGCTTTTGGGTGGTTTGTGAAGCTTGAAGGGAAGGAAGAAGCTTGAGAATTCGAGTTAGGGCTTGTAGATCCAGAGATCTTGTTCCATCTTCAGCTCAATCAAGGTAAATGCCCCCTGTTTTGGTCTTCCATTTGGTTGTTCATCTTTAGGGCTTAGATTTTAGGTGCATTTAGGGCTTCCTAAACCATTTTTGGATTTGTGAAGTGATTCATGGGGTTCTACTTCCAGATCTGAGTCATTGGAGGGGTCTCATGGCATAAAGGTGCCAACCCTATGACCATGAGAGCCCCATGCACATTGTAGAGCACCTTTTATGGATTTTTGAGCCAAAAACCCCATACATGTGCATCAAGTTTGGAACTTTACATATAAAAGGGACATTAGGAGGCCAGATCTATGGTTTTGATGTGTTAAGACCCATTTAAATCGGCTGTATAGTCATGGTCAAGGATGGACTCGTCGAGTTGTTCTTGGGACTCGGCAAGTTGAGGTGTAATGACCACCAAATCCATTCTGCGAATGGACCAGTTGTTAGAGAGGGAAGTGATGGGTTTTGAGCATTCTAACACTCCTAAGTGTACATGCAACCCTAAATACCTTGGATCTATG